CACGGCCCCACACATGCTCACAACAAAAAAAAATGGGAAAACCCGGAAATCGCCCTGGAGAAATGGAAAGCCCCCTTTTAACCCTGATTGCCTCTGGGAGGTGACTGGGGGAGCATGAGAAGGAGAGCATATTTTACTGTCCACCCGTTATACCATTTGAATTTTGAACCATGTGATTTGTTGCCAATTTCTAAAAATTTAACTAAAATAATCCCGTCACTGTTAAGATTTGAGAGTAGCCCTAGCTGGTTTGGCTCAGTCGATAGAGCAGTGGTTCTCAACCTTCCTAATGCTGCGACCCTTTAATACAGTTCCTCATGTTGTGTGGTGACCCCCAACCATAAAATTATTTTCCTTGCTACTTCATAACTGTAATTTTGCTACTGTTATGAATCGTCATGTAAATATCTGATATGCAGGATGTATTTTCATTGTTACAAATTGAACATAATTAAAGCATAGTGATTAATCACAAAAACAATATGTAATTATATATGTGTTTTCCGATGGTCTTAGGCGACCCCTGTGAAAGGGTCGTTCAACCCCAAAAGGGGTCGCGACCCACTGGTTGAGAACCGCTGGGATAGAGCATCAGCCTGGGGACAGAAGGGTCCCGGGTTTGATTCCGGTCAAGGGCACATGCCCGGGTTGCGGGCTCAATCCCCAGTAGGGAGCGTGCAGGAGGCAGCTGATTGATGATTCTCTCTCATAATTGATGTTTCTATCTCTCTCTCCCTCTCCCTTCCTCTCTGAAATCAATAAAAATATATTTAAAAAAAAAAAGACGAGAGTATATCCTTCCAATATTTTGACTTGCTGCTTTATAGCTTTCCTTAACATTGGTATCATACCATCCATGCTCTTGGACAATCTTTTTAATAATTTACTAATGTATTTAGGAACATTTACCACATCAAATAATATTCTTTTAGAGTATTTTAATGGCAAACCTAAGATTTTTATGTATGGGTGCATTATATTTAAACCCACTCCCTTTAAAATATTTAGGCTTTTCAGAAGGCTTTTTGAAAACACTAATATGATAATATCTTTATGTATTTTATTATTTCTTTAGGACATATTCCTAACAGAGGAATTGCTGGTTCAACGGAGAAAGGTGGTAGTGATTAAACTCCCAATAATGGTTCTTGTTACATAGACAAAGTTTTGGTTTTTTTTAAAAGTCTAGATCATAGGATATGTGGATATTCAGCTTCAGTAGATTCTGCCAAATAATTTTCTCAGTACTGTTTTGGAGTTTTCCATAGTGAGGTTTTAATCCTCACCTGAGGATATTTTCCATTGATTTTAGAGAGGAAGGGAGAGAAATATCGATGTGTGACAGAGATATCAATGAGTTGCCTCCCTTATGCACCCTAGCCAGGATCAAACCCACAACCTAGGTATGTGCCCTGACCTGGAATCGAACCCGGCAACCCTTTGGTGCAGGGGATGCTCTAACCAAATGAGCCACACCAGCCAGGGCTGTGTAATTTTTTAAGGAAACAAAGATGTTCACAATGTATCAGTAAATGAAACATTACAAAACAGTATGTAGAGTATGATACCATGTTTGAAAAAAACACATATTCAATATATAGATATATGCCAAAGAAAACAAAATGGGGAAATAATAGTAATAATGTACTGCTACATGTCTACTAAGGTGGATATGAACAGAAGAATTTCCAAAGCTCTCCAATGATTTATAGGTGATTAAAAATTTTTTTGCTTTCCTTTGTTTTCTAATTTTTCTACAATAAACATTATTTCTACATTTATAAAAATAATGGTTAAAAAAACCAAGTTGGGTCTCTTAGGGAAAAAGGGGGGAACTCCATTTCTGTCACCCCCCTTCCCACCAATGCACCCCACCCTCTCCACCCTGGGGGTCTTACATTTCAAGAAGAGCGATCGCTCTGGTGAGGGACTGATTTTCAACAGGGAGTCCGGCTTGGTGCTAGAGAAGCTGGAGAGCTGGCAGTTCATGTCTGTAACGAATCGTAAGAAATGAGTGCCCGGCGCTCATGCAAGCAGCACAGATTATAAAACACACCAAAACCATTATAAAACTGGAGATTCACATAAGCTCTCTCCCCAAAAATCATGCATATTTAGGTAGGAAATACAAATTCGCAGTCACAGGAGAACTCCAGGACAACGCTCAGATCTGAGGAGAAACGCACTTTCCAGGGTCTGGAACAAATTCAGCAAGGCAGGTCAGTGTGCGTGAGCCCTGAACATGGGGAGGAGACGGCAGCCTCCAGAACCGTCCTGAGAATCGACTATAAACTAAACAAGTCAGCCATGGGGCAACCTCAGAACAGAAATGCAAGTTCCAGGATAAAGATGGAAAACAAGAAATTAGAGGTGAGTCCTCACCTCAATGTTTCTCTCTCTCCCCAGCTCTCTCTGGGAAAAAAAAAAATCAATAAACATATCCTTGGGTGAGGATTAAAAAAAAATCTGCTTTGACAAACCAGCTCAGGAAAATCCATAGCTCAGTCCTATTGCAGCAGTGGTTCTCAACCTTCCTAATGCCGCGACCCTTTAATACAGCTCCTCATGTTGTGGTGACCCCCAACCATAAAATTATTTTCCTTGCTACTTCATAACTGTAATTTTGCTACTGTTATGAACCGTCATGTAAATATCTGATATGCAGGATGTATTTTCATTGTTACAAATTGAACATAATGAAAGCATAGTGATTAATCACAAAAACAATATGTAATTATATATGTGTTTTCTGATGGTCTTAGGCGACCCCTGTGAAAGGGTCATTTGACCCCCAACGGGGTCGCGACCCACAGGTTGAGAACCGCTGTATTGCAGGCCTCAGTGTCCCCAATTGTGTTCCCTTGTCTCAGTTCGCAATGCCTTTCCTGGCTCTCCCACTGTCAAAATCTTAGTGATTAAGGCCCAACTCAAGTCCCAGCTCCTCCAGCAAGGCTTCCCGATTTCCCATCAGAATGCTCTTTCCTTCATCTGAGCTCCCTTGGCCGCAGGCTATGTCTTCTGTTACCTCCTGAAGTAAGCCTGTGCTGCAGCCAGGGCCTGGCCTCACCTCTCTCCAGTTCCCAGGGGTGTTCGGTGCGTGCCTGTACCATTTCTGCCTTGCTTCCTCTCACCCCTTTCCTTCTCCTTTTCTCCTGATCTTCAGAGCTAGCACTGCCCTGCCAGCCCCATTTGACAAGGTAGCTTCCAAGGTTTTCCACCTCATCTCCCACCATTGTGCCCAGTCCCCACGGCTCCCTCTCTGTATCCAGTCACTATGGCTCCCTCTCTGTGCCCAGTCACTATGGCCCCCTGTCTGTGCCCAGTCACCATGGCTCCCTCTCTGTGCCCAGTCACTATGGTCCTCTCTCTGTGCCCAGTTACTATGGCTCCCTCTCTGTGCCCAGTTACTATGGCTCCCTCTCTGTGTCCAAATCTCAAGTTCTTCCCTCACTTTGGGCCCTTGGCACATGCTGTTCCTTCTGCCTAGAAAATGATTCTCCCAGACTAAAAACAGCAACAACGACAGCTAACACTCACACAGTGCTTATGCCTGAGCACCACTCTAAGCACTTTGCGTACAAGATCTCATTTAATCCTTACTTCCCCTTACCCCTTTCCTTCTCCTTAAATGACCCTGTGAGGGAGGAACTGTATTACCATCTCTGTGTTACAGATGTGAAGACAGAGGCATAGAAAAGTTAGGTGCTTTACCCAAGATGACAGGGTTGGGAAGTGGTGGACCTGGGATAGGAACTCGGTGAGTCTGGCTCCAGAGTCATGCTGTGACCCCTACGCCCCCCAGCCCTTCAGCTCTGCAGAGCTTACAGAGGCTTCCTCAGCTCAGCTTACATGCCCCCTTCTCAGACAGGCCTTTCCCACTTCCCCATATAAAAACTTCCTCCTCTTCCTCCTCCTCCTCCTCCTCCTCCTCCTCCTGGTCACTCTTTATTCCACTTAACCTGCTTTATTTTTCTTCGGAGCACTTACTGCTGACATATATTCATTTGTTGTCTGTCTTCCCCTCAAAAGACTGAGTACCACAAAGGCAAGAGCTGTGACTTACACGCAATAGGGGCTCCATAAATGCTCTGAATGAATCATAATAACAGAGATGAATGAATGAATGAATGAATGAACAGATATTTCTGAGCACCTGCTTTGTTTCAGGTCCTGCAGGAACCTCAGAGCTGGACCCGAAATGGTTCTTGCCATCCAGGCATGTACGAGAGGCAGGGAAGGATCCATGCATCAAAAACACCCCAAAACCCCCCCAGGAAAAAAAAAAAAAAAAAGACCCCAGGCAGGAAATGGGGCGGGATCTGGAGAGGAAGGACAGAGGGGTAGAGTCCAGTGGCAGGCAGAGCCCAAGGTGCTGCAGGGACGGTGGGACTTGACCAGGCGGAGGAAGAGGAGGAGTTGGCCCTTCCGGCTGGGACCCCAGAGCAGGCAGAATCCCAGGAGTGACTGATGGCAGGAGCAGAGCATTGTGGCTTTAAGGAGCAGAGCAGGTCTCAGGAGGGGGAGCAGGTCTCAGTGAAGTCAGCGGGTGGGTTGGGTGCAAGCCCAGGAGTCCTTGACCACCCAGCCAAAGGCCTCTGTGTGGGAGACATGATTCTTGGTGGCCGTCTTCCCTGTTGTCTCTGGGTTAAAGGGCACTAAGGGAGTAAGGGACACAGAGTCGGTCACACGGTGACTTACTGTCCTTCAAGCGAGCCTCCAGTGGCGTCTGTACCACTCTCTGCATGGCTTCCACAAGGCCCTTGAAGAAGGTCTTGATGGGCGCGAAGGACTGGGGCACGGGGTGGCACAGCTCCCCCAAGCGCATCTGCTGCTTCAGCTCCCGCTCAGTGGCCGTGAACTCCTGCAGGAACACAGGGGGTTCAGGGTGGCTCCACGGCTGCACCAGGAACAAACCCTGGCCACCAAGTGCAGGCCCCACCCCACCCTGCCCTGGCACCAGTGGTCAGCCAGGGCCCTGCCCCCAGGAATGACCGCACAGCAGACCCCACACAGCAGGCCCCACACAGCAGACTGTCATTCCTCAGTTCAAAACACTCCCCTGGTCCCTATCCCTATACGGGACAAAGTCTAAGTTCCATGGCCAGGTATGTAAAGCTCTTCATCAACAAACCCTGGCCTCCCGATCCAGCTGCATCTCCCAGCTCCCCTGCACCTGCACCTCTGCTCACCTCCGGCCAGGCTGAACGCAGGTGGCTCTCCAGCCCGCCAAGCTCTCACACGCACGTGGTTCCTTTCTGCCTGGAATGTCCCCTCTGCTTCCTCCTTCTATATGCACCTAGTGAGCTCTTCCTCGTCCTCCCACACCCTGCTCCACTGTCACCTCCTCCTAGAAGTCTTCCCTGATCCCCTAGGCAGAACTGGACCTTTCTCGGTCACACTTTTGCTAGCTCACTTGAGCTGTGTTGTAAATCCTGTTTCTGAGCATGTCTCTCCACCCATGAGCTGGGCCTGGGCAGAAGAGGTTGCTCACTGAACATTTGATGAATAAATGAACGAGCAAGTGGAAGGAATGATGAATGGTGGAAATCAGTAGCTTTGGCACCAGAGAATTAAAAAAAAAAAAAAAGAGAGAGATGGCAAAGCCTTGAAACTCTACCTGTGATGGAGGAATAATAACATTCTTCTCCATGGAGCAGCCCTTTGAATTAGCTATCCCTAAGGGGTACCATTATTTTATTTTTATTTATTTATTTTTAAATATATTTTTATTGATTTCAGAGAGGAAGGGAGAGGGAGAGATAGAGATAGAAACATCAATGATGAGAGAGAATCATTGATCAGCTGCCTCCTGCACGCCCCACACTGGGGCTCAAGTCTACAACCCGGGCATGTGCCCTGACCTGGAATCGAACCGTGACCTCCTAGGTCATAGGTCGATGCTCAACCACCGAGCCATGCCAGCTGGTCAGGGGTACCATTATTTTAAAAGAAACAAACAAATGTACCCTCCTGTGCCTCAAAGTACAGTAACCATTGTGCATAGGACAGCACCTCACCCAGAATTTTTTGTTAGGCTAATTTTTTATTTTGAATTTATTGGGGAGACATTGGTTAGTAAAATATATAGGTTTCAGATATACAAGTCTACGAAACATCACCTGTATACTGTATTGTGTGTTCACCACCCCGTCAAGTCTCCTTCCATCACCATTTATCCCCCTTTGCCCTTTTCTCCCTCCCCCCAGCTCCCTTCCCCTCTGGTAATCACCATGCTGCTGTCTGTGTCTATGTAGGTTTGCTTATTTTTTGTTAACTAACAATGAGACACAGGCTGAGTTGACCAAGGCCACATAAAGGCACACGAGTGGAAATATCCACCAGGGCCTGGCTTGACTGGTTTTGCATTGACAAATTTATTTGTGCTACTTTCCAGCCAGAACCCATGCAAATCTGTGGTTAGACTCAGTGCCACCTTTATACCTACCCTGCCTCGTCCCAGAAGCCTTTAAAGCAACTTTCCACTGTTCCTTTAAAGCAACTTTCAAAGGTTATCTAATACTGCAAGAGTTCCCTTTACAGGGGGGGAAGTGAAGCAAAGAGGAAACCAGGATAAGAACATAAACTGGGAAACAGAGTGAGGTGAGGCACAAAACATATGCCATGAAGTCATAGCTCAGCTACTTGAAACATATTTAGCTCTGAGCTTCCCAGAAGCCACAGCAAAGAAGGGAACAGGAAGACGTACGTGAGTGGAAAGCAATCCAAATGCACAGGTGACTGCCCTGGAGTATTGACAGAAGAGAGGAGTTTCTCCCCTGGTTCCTCGAAGACAGGAACACCACCCTCAACACATGCTTTCACTAAGTGTAGCATGAACATCATAGAGGCTATTTCTTAGACACTCTCTCTCCGTTATGGTAATAACCTCCAGGGAGCCCAGTGGCCGAGGAGTACCATTCTTCTCTCCCCCTTGAGCAAACTGCGACCCAGCTCTTGAGGTCTGCTCAGTAGCTGACAGGACCTTGCCTCTCCCAGAGGGGTGTCTCAATGAAGACTGTATAGGTAGAGGCCTGGGCAATGATGCTTTGCAGCTTTAGAGTCAGAGAAACCTGGGTTCCGGTCCCAGCTCTGCCACCTACCAGCTGGGTGACCTCAAATGCATCACCTCAGCTCCCTGAGCCTCAGTTTCCCATTTGTAAAGTGGGGTGAGAATATCCACTTTGCAGAGTTCTAGTAAATATTACAGCTAAGATCCATGATGGTGGCTGTACATGTTATTTCATTAGTCCAAGATATACATTATGTTCCTAACTACGTCTATTTCCTGACCACTTGTGTAGGGGCAAGAAAGTCTACTTGCTAACAAGGCAATTCTCTGTGTATTAACTCAGTGTGTAAATACTGTGCTCAATGCCATAGTAACCACGAAGAAATGTGGGTGGCGGCTGGCAGGTGGCAGCTGTGAAGCAGAAACCCAGCATTACCTGCAACAGCTGGACAGGGTCGGGCTCCTGGCTGATACTGCAGACCCTGTCAGAGAGACTGTTCAAGACGTCAATTTGGTCCTCACACGACTTGATTTGCTCCCTGTATGCCTGGAGGGTAAGCTGGGTATTCTTATCGATGAATTTCTTGGCCAGGACTTCCTCTTCATCAAGTAGCAATCTGAGTTCAGTGAATTTCCCTGTCAGCCAGATTTTACTTGACTCTGCATGAGCCTAAAAAGAAAACCCGTTGCAGATGATGTGAGTGCCAGCTAGGAAATCCAGGATAATCAACATGGAAAAACTATTACGACATCTAAAAGCAAGGTCCAGTCAGGGACAAGATCAACTTACAAGAACTCAAGCTTTCCTAAGGACCCGCCATAACCAATTGGAACATGCAGGGAGAAATAAAGGTCCTTTTAAAATAATGGATGATATAGCAATGTATCTAGAAATAAAACCGAAAAAAAAGCTGTAAAGACTTAGATAAAGAAAAGTATAAAATTGTACTGAAAGACATAAAATAATCTGAATGGTTGGAAGAAAAAAACATATCCCTGGTTGTGGAAGATTCATTACTATAAAGGTTCTATTTGGCTCAGCCACGGTGACTTAGTGGTTGAACAACGACCTATGAACCAGGAGGTCACAGTTTGATTCCTGGTCAGGGCCATGCCCGGGTTGCAGGCTTGATGATCCCCATAGGGGGCGTGGAGGAGACAGCGGATCAATGATTCTCTCTCATCATTGAGGTTTCTATCTCTCTCCTCTCCCTTCCTCTCTGAAATCAATTTAAAAAATATTTTAAAAAAAGATGCTATTTATCCCCAACTTAGTCTATAAATTGGGCACACTCCAAATAAGTCTTAGCATGCAGATTAAATAAATATTAAATTATCATGGGGGAGCCCTGGCCAGTGTGGTTCAGTTGGTTGAGCGTCATCCTGTGTACCAAAGAGTCGCTGGTTTGATATCTGGTCAGGGCACATGCCTGGCTTGTGGGCTCGATCCCCAATGGTGGAGAATAAGCACAAGAAAAGTAAAAAATTGCTTAAAAACATCAATGAAGGATGAGTTGCCTTATTAAATATCAAACAAACTATAACGCTACAGGATTTAAAACCATACAGCTTAGGCATAGACAAAATGGTCAGGGACACAGAATAAAGAGTTATAAAAAGTTATAAAAGAGTTATACACATACACACACACAATAATGGTGGCATTTCAAATTATTGAAAGGGTGAACTATTCAATAAATGGTATTGACACAATATGCAATTAACCATGTATTTGACAAAAAATTTAAGTTAGCCGAAACTGGTTTGGCTCAGTGGATAGAGCATCGGCCTGTGGACTGAAAGGTCCCAGGTTCGATTCCGGTCAAGGGCATGTACCTGGGTTGCGGGCACATCCCCAGTGGGAGATGTGCAGGAGGCGGCTGATCGATGTTTCTCTCTCATCGATGTTTCTAACTCTCTATCTCTCTCCCTTCCCCTCTGTAAAAAATCAAAAAAAAATATTAAAAAAAAAAAAAAGAGGAAGGGAGAGAGATAGAGAGTTAGAAACATCAATCAGCTGCCTCCTGCACACCCCACACTGGGGATGTGCCCGCAACCCAGGTACATGCCCTTGACCGGAATCAAACCTGGGACCTTTCAGTCCACAGGCTGACGCTCTATCCACTGAGCCAAACCGGTTTCGGCAGATTCTTATTCTATATATAAAAATAAATTCAGACAGAGCCCTACCTATGAAGCAGTCTTGCCAACAAATGTGAACCTGAATTAGATCAAGCCTCTAGATCTAAATAAAAGATTAGCATAAAGGAGAGAGGAGCGTGTGAGCCATCAATTTAATACATCAAGCAAGTGCATTTCGAAACTTTATTTCACTCCTAATTCAAACAAATAAAATGTGACACTTATAAGACAACTGGAAATGTGACCACTGAGTGGATATTTGATGACATTAAGGAACTATTGTTAATTTTCATTCGTGTGATGATGAAACTATGGCTATGTACTTTTAAAAAATGAGTCCTGTCCTAACTGGTTTGGCTTAGTGGATAGAGCGTCGGCCTGTGGACTGAAGGGTCCCAGGTTCGATTCCAGTCAAGGGCATGTACCTTGGTTGCGGGCACATCCCCAGTGGGGAGTGTGCAGGAGGCAGCTGATCGATGTTTCTCTCTCATCGATGTTTCTGACTCTCTATCCCTCTCCCTTCCTCTCTGTAAAAAATCAATAAAAATATATTTTTTAAAAAAATGAGTCCTGCCCTGGCCAGTGGCCAGTGTTGCTCAATGGTTAAAGTGTCAGCCTGCACACTGAAGGGTCTCCCAAACATGCCCTGACTGGGGACAGGGATCGAACCCACAACCCAGGCATATGCCCTTGACCAGAATCGAATCCAAGACCCTTCGGTGTGCAGGGCATGCTCTAACCATTGAACAACACCTGCCAGGGCTACAAAATAATCTCCCCCCCCCGCCCCCCAAAAATAATATTAATGGCAATACACATTGTTATAACTAAAAATATCCCCAAGAAAACGCAAGGGCAAGCATTTGAGGCTGATTATGCAATATGATTAAAAAATTTAAAAAGAGGGAGAGGTAGAATTCTGGCAATGAAACAGGAAGTGCTGTCTGGTTTAGGCTGCATTGGTTCAAAGTGAAACCGGATCCCAGATTGAACTGGACTGAGGTCAGGATGCGGCTGGACGGGGCTGGGGCTGGGCCAGGGCCTGACAGAGTCTAGCTGAGGAGATCTAAGGACTGTGGGGGGGGAAGAACTTGAACAGCGACAAAGCCCTGGCCTGGGAGGTGGAGGATTTTACACATGGAATGGAAAGAACTGTTTTGCTGAAAACAGTATGATTTTGGACAATCCTGTTATGACCGCCTCTCAGGGGCGTCCCACCAGGGAAGGAAGTGTGCTGGACAGCCCTGCCCAGGCCACATTATTTATGACATCCATGCACTCTGATATGTGGCAGCAGCTGGCAAGAAGGGGCAGAGGAATGGCCATGCCCAGCGGGGTGGTGGAGACCAATGGCGTGGGCAGGGTCAACAGCAAGGCCAAGCCCTCAGCTTCCTAGTCTCAATCTGGCAAAGGCTGGTTCATATCCCCTACCCCATGCCGTGGTCCAGTCCTTACAGCTCGGGTGGGTCACAGGGAAAGGTATAAAGCCAGGAACTGCAGATGCTTACATACTCCCCAGGAAGCCCGTCTAGGCTCTGTTCCCCACCCCACCCCCCACCCCCGCCCTCAGGAGGCAGCAGGACTGACTCCCTCAGGCCAGGATCCCCCTTCAGGCTGGGTTTGGTTTGGTCAATGGGAGGAGGAACTAGAGGGAGGTCAGAGGGTGAGGGGAACAGCCAGGGTATCCTGCCTCCCTGCGTCCCCTCCAACCTCTGTTCCCACAGGATGGCGCTCTGGTTCCGGCTCCTGCCTAGGTGGCCCTGGACTCTAATACCACCCCCTCCCTTTGGCTCTGCAGCCCAGGGTAAAGGTGCTTCCTGATGGGGCCAATTGCCTCACCACGCCCTGGTTGGCTTCCCTGCCCCTTCCGTGCCTGTCACCATTCCCTGCATTCATCTCCTCTGGGTGAAACCCCCAATGTGGCTTCTGTCTTCCTGGGTGGACCTTGATAAACACAGCCATGGCCCCAGGTCCACCTCTACCTTCCTATGTGACCAATGACAAGTTATTTCCTCTGCCTGGGTGGCCCCATCTCCAAGGCCTTCCAGCCTGACACTGTGCACATTCTAAATCCCTGCCTAGATCTGGATCCAACAGACATTAACTAAATGTAAATATACATGCATTTTCTTCATTTATAAAAGTATCAAAAGCTCCTTGTAGAATATTCGGGAGATTCAGGAAAAAAACACACAACCACTGCATACTGTCATCTTATCCCAGTTTGAATAAAAAGTCAGGGTAGCAGGCAAGTGTTGAATTTTCCCTACACCTGCATGTAGGAGCCCCCGAGGAGCCATGATGGGGACAAACAGCCTAATAACAAGGATGTCAGAGAAAATCATTTCATAGATGTGGGTTGGGGATTAATGACCAAGTCCTCCTTGATTGTTCTATGAAAGGGAGTGGTTGGTTAGGCTTGCTCATTGGCTTCTGAACAGCAGACTTTGGACATTGTCTGATCTTTATTGATTTTAACTTATTTACAAAACTGTTTTATGGGTTAATTTTCAGGCGAATGGCCTTTGCCTGGCAACTGCCCCATGTAAACGAGTTCAGAGCAACACGCTTGCCCCAGACCCCGCTGCCACAGACCGCCGGCTACAGCTGGGCAGAACGTACAGTAATCCTCACAAATGTTGTGCCTGTGAGCTAGAGGCATCACTTCTGGACATGTGTCCCCCAGGAAGTAAATCAAGGTGCCAGAAATGTTCACTGCAATGCTATTTTACATTAGTGAAAAGCTGGAAATGACCTAAATGTTCAACATTAGGAAAACGGCTTAATGAGTTAACAACCCCGCCCTCCCCAGAAAAACAAACAAAAAACAAAAAAACACCAGAAAAACCCACAATCCAACAGACAACAAAAAGGGAAATCCTCAGGTGCCCAAAACAGAGGAAACTTGATGTCGGAGCCGTGGGCAGAAGAGGAGCTGAGTGGCCCCCGGGGGGGATGGGCGTACAGGTGTCTGAGACACACCGCACTGGGGCCTGCTCAGTCAGGGGGCGCGCAGGGCCCTTGGCCCTATTCCCGGGGGAAGGGGAATGGGGCCTCCTGCATCAAGCCAGGGTCACAGAGAGCTGTTCCATCCATGCACCAGGCACCAGAAAAACTCGCCCACTGGCCTGGGGAAGCGGCAAGGAATCTTGTCACCCATCCAAGGTCTTGGGGGAAAAGAGAGTCACTAGCAAAACAAACGAATAAACCCAATAACAGGCTTGGAGTCTGGATGTGCGGACCCTCAAAACTAAAAAACTCCCCTGACAACCCGTCTGGAACTGCTGAAACCCAGAGCCCGCCTCAGACGCTCACGTTACAGTGCTCTGCAGGGGCTGCCCACACCCAGGGCACATGGGGCACCGTGGAAAACGCCCACTGAAGGCCAGGGGACGACACAAACTCCAAGTCACGCAGGGAAACGAGCCGCCATGCCTCCCTCCACCCTGGATACTACACCAAAGAGTATTCGTGTACAGAAAAAACATAAGCCGAAACCGGTTTGGCTCAGTGGATAGAGCGTTGGCCTGCGGACTGAAAGGTCCCAGGTTCGATTCCGGTCAAGGGCATGTACCTGGGTTGCTGGCACATCCCCAGTGGGAGATGTGCAGGAGGCAGCTGATCGATGTTTCTAACTCTCTATCTCTCTCCCTTCCTCTCTGTAAAAAATCAATAAAATATAAAAAAAAACAAAAAAACACACAGAAGTCTCAAAATGTGGACTGGTGGTTGGCCTGGAGTGGCAGAATTATCGCTGAATTTTTAAAAATCTGCTGTTGACCAGGAACTGAAATATAAATGCCCACAGGAGACAGCCTGGTCACATAATGAGGAGAGTGGGCAGGCAGGGGCCGGGGGAACTGGCAACGCATGTCCTTCTCATGAGCATGTCCATTGCTCAGCTCCACGTGGGAATGTAGGCCTAGCGGGGCACAGCCTCCTACTTTTCTACATCTAACTCTTTATACAAATACCTCTCAGCTTTAAAATGCTGATCGCTAATTTTTCTGAGAGTCATTTAGGTGTAAGTCCAATAACACATGTTTAGGAATTGTATGCTGAAAACTACAAAATACTGATGAAAAAAAACAAAGACCTAAATAAATGAAGAGATATGCCATGGTCACGAATCCTCAAACGCTGTAATGATAGAGACAGAGAATAAACTAGTGACTGCTAGGAGTTAGGGATTGCTGGGGGCCGGGTTGGGGTGACTATACGGGTGTAGCAGTAGGTAGATCTTGGTAGCGATGGAACGGTTCTGTTTTTTGGTTACAGCAGCAGTTACTCAAATCCACACAGGTGATAAGTTGACATAGAACACATATACACACACTGTCAATGTTCTGGTTTTGAAATTGTACTATAGTTAGGTAAGATATAACCCTTGGGGCAAACTAGGTGAAAGGCACGCAAAACTTACTATCTTGGCAACTTCCTGTGAATCTATAATTATTTCAAAATAAAGGTTTGAAAATTGGAGAGAAGGTTAAAAGAAAGAAAACCATTCCTTACTCTAAGCTGAAACCTGCCCCCTTAGACAGTCCACATGGATCCTAATTCTCGTCTTCAGGGCCCCACGCTGTATCTGCTCAGAGACTTGCAGACAGGGGACCTGTGCCCCCATCCTGGTCTAGCTAAACAGCCCAAAGCACCGCCCCGCCCCGCCCCCATCCCATCAGGTGCGCCAACTTTGTTTCCAAATCCTCTTGAACTGATTTATCTGCCTGAGATTGGAGTCCTACCCTTGAAGATGTAAGGGACACTATTAACAATTATACCAGGGCCATGGGTATAAACCACAACTCTACTCAGCAAACTGAGTCCTGTAGTCAGTCATCTTTCAGATAATGGATGTTGGGCAGACAGGGAGCCAATTCCGTGGCCTGGCTTGGCCTCGGCATTTCCACACCTTAGATTAAGCAGAACCCTGCTCCCTTAGGCTCTCCATGTGGATCCTAATCTTGTCTTGGGGGCCCCACACTGTATCTGCTCAGAGATTTGCAGACAGTGACCACCACCCCCCACCCCACCCCCGGCTGTGGGCTACTGCCACAGTCAGAGCCAGTCAGTGAGGGCTCATTGAGCTCTCAGCAAAGCAGGCCCTGTGAGGGCACCCCCACCCCAGCCCTCACTCCCAGGAGGGGGCGCTGAAGCTGGCCAAGTTCACATAAAAGGCCCCTAGAGACAGAACAACTTTTTCAGTCAAAATGGCAGCTCATGATACCATCAGCCCCGACTTCCCACTTAAAACACAAAAGAATCCATTTAAACAAACACTGTTAGGAAAGGAGAAGCCTAAAGAAAGTAAATATTTGTGGAATATATTTATACCTCACTTTCCCTTTCACCATGGCAGTGAAACTTAAAGAGCTATCTGTGTGTTCCTTAAGCTGCATTTTGCTTTGTTTAAGGTGTCTGGGGGATGGAGGACTAGTCCCTTCAGGAGAACGGCCTTGGCGATGGCGAGAGAAAGGCGACTCCCCCATTCTGTGAGGTATTATGGGGCAAGGCTGGGGTGTGGGGCAGAGGCAGACTCACCACAAAGCTAATGGAATAGTAGCCTCAGGCCCCTCCCTAGCAAGACCCCCGTCATGGTCTTACACCTAATATTGTTTTCTTTTGCTTAAAAAGGGCCCCCTAAATCAGTGATTTTCAACCTTTTTCATCTCATGGCACACATAAACTAATTACTAAAATCCCGTGGCCCTGCCGAAACCGGTTTGGCTCAGTGGATAGAGCGTCGGCCTGCGGACTGAAGGGTCCCGGGTTCGATTCCGGTCAAGGGCATGTGCCTGGGTTGCGGGCACATCCCTGGCTGTTGTCAGTTTTTCATTTGATCATCTAAGGGAAAAGCGGTCCATGCCTTTGACTAAATAGTCAGGTATTGCATGTTTTAAAAATTCTTGTGGCACACCAGTTGAAAATCGCTGCCCTACATTATAGAAGCCCAGGCCCCACCAGACCTGATCTCCTTTGAGGTTGGTTTTAATTTTTCCTTGGCTGCATATTGGCTGCACCTTGTGTCCGAGGAGAAACGTGGACATCTCAACTAGAAGAAGGAAGAAAGGTCCACTTGCCTTGAGCTTCTCAGCAGCATCTTCTATCTGGTTTCTGTTGCCAACTTGCTGCTGCTTCTTGATGGCCAGCTGCCTTAAATATTGTTGGGTGAGTTTCTGTATGCGAAGGAATTAGGGGGAAAGTCTTAATACTGTCACTTTCACGATAACAAGGCTCTGCAGGAGTCATCTCTCACCCCTGCCTTGTGTTTCCGCTGAGGTATCTGAGACTCAGGAAGGTGAGATGACTTGCCCAAAGTCAAGTAGCAAGTTAGAGGATGAGCTGTAATGAGGGCCACTCTGGTCCTCAGGGATTCTTCCAACCATGATGCCCTCCCCGCTCTTTCTAGGACCAGCCTGTTTGTGACCTGATCTTCCAGTCCCTCAAATAGGACCTTAAGGCAAGCAGCGTGAGGACAGGGGAAGAGAATTCACGTACAGAATGAATATTAACTGAGCACCTAACACATGCTGGGCCTTGTTCCGGGAGCTGCCCTTGTGGAACGTGCATTCCAGGGGGGGTCTGTGGCCCTCTGGCCTGGACTGGGGTTCAGAAGATCTGCATGTGTGAGAGATCTGTGGGGTTCATGCTCCACTCCTCTCCCTCCCACCTGAAATGGCTCCCTTCCCTACCTCTGCTTTTTGCAGTAGCCACTTTTCCAAAGGCCTGCTCTGTGACCCTCTCCCCACCAGTGGGACTTTACCCCATCCCCTCCCCATCCCAGCCATCTTTCTGTTGGCCTTATCCTCCACTGACCAGAGGGTGACCTAGAAGTGTTGGCCGAATCAAACAGAATTACTTGGGGCTGCCAACTTCAACTGGAGCCACCCAATAAGTTATGAGCACAAGCCCCAGAGTCAGACGGGACCTCCTGGTCTGAGTCCTATGAGGTGACCTGGGCAAGTGACCTCATTCCTCTAAACCTTGGTTTCCTCAGCTGTAAATATGGGGTGGACTTCATAGGGTTGCTGTGGAGAATACGTGCTCAATTAAGTGTTTAGTCGCTTGGCAGACAGTAAGTGTTTGATAGAGGAAGCTGGCCTTATTTTAACAGCCAACAAGCACTTGCTACTACTATGTGCACAGTTTGATTCTAGGTGGGGTGTGGGATGGGGACACAATAGTAACCCAAGTTCCAGGAGCACACCCTTATCCCTCTGTGATTTCTAAGCCTTCAAGTCCAGCTCCTGTCCATCATCCAAGGATAACTTGGCCTCCTGATGCCTGTGCCCTCCAGTCAGAGGCTATTTCTCCTATCTTGGTACTTGGTGAAGCCCTCCTCATCCTTCAAGGCCAGTTCCAATGGCACCTCCTCCAGAAAATCTCCATGGGCTTCTTGCCCCTGGTTCACACTGTCTTCTATCTGGCTCCCACTGACCATTAGGATTCCTGGTTACAAAATTTACCACACTGTATTGTCACTGTTCTCCCCCCGCCCCAACTCAAGAACTCCTCCAGGTCTGGGAAGAATTGATCTATTCCTTGACTCATGGCACAAGGTATGTGCTGAATGGATGTTTGATGAATGAATGAATGAATGAAGGGATGGATGACAGATAAATAGGTGAGTGAGTGGTGTGTGGATACAAAATGAGTACCCATAGGTAGGAGGGTAGACTTACCTACGAGACCCACAGCCATATCTCTGGACAGCACCCTTAGCAACTGGAAGACAGTCTTTTGAGGAGCTATTATCATCACAGCCATTTTATATAAGAAAAGGAGGCCCTTAGAGGCACAGGCAGGCCTTGAACCCAGGACCCCACTTGCTGGACTGGTCCTCACAGGGCCCATTCTCACTCAGAGCTCCAGGAAGCCTTCTTGGCTTCTCTTCCCAAAGCAGTCTACATTTCCCTACCCTGGCCCTCCCTTTCCCTCCAACCCTGACTTAAAACTTTAGACGGCAGGGACAAATTCTGTCTTACCTGTTTCCCAGCCTGGAAAAGCAGGTGCTTAATTGTTATTTGTGGAACAAATCAAGAAAAGGAAAGTGTAGGCAGATGCTGTTGCCTCCCTCACACGGCCCCAGGGTGAGGCCACTGACTTTTAATACCCTTAATCTCTGCCTGTCTATGCCTACAGTGAGGGTCCATTCTCACCTTGGAGCTCCAAGGTTGTTAACAATGTGGTAGTGTTAAGTCAGCCACACAAGAGAAAGAGGGTCTTGATTGTGGGGCTGGAAGACTTCCTGGAGGTGTTAGTGGGAGAATCATGTGCTAGAGATGGGTGGGCCGCCTAACCCGGAGAAGTGGAGGGATTTGACCAGAGCCACCGAACAAGGGGCCACAGGCTGGACCAAGAGCCCAGAGCCCCTGCCACTATTAGGATTAAACAAGGGGGAGGGCTCCCAGGTGAGAATGGACCCCGTGGGGGCAGTCCACCGCGTGGAGTCCTGGGTTCAAGAGCTGCCTCTGCCTCCAGAGCTTTCCTTTCCTTATCGATACGTGGCCGTCCTTGCTCCCACCAGTGATGCCTGTGGAACTGGAGTGGGTGTGGAGAGGGAAGGGCGGGGCAGGGTAGGTAGAGGATGCCCCTAGCGCAGGCAGGCAGTCCAAGCCCCTCTCTGTGGGAGCCAGGAGACAAAACCAGAGACATTTATGTAGCTTCCCAGGCTGCCAGGCTGTTTTCCAGTAGAAAGGGATTTTAATCTAGCTAAAAGGCAGATTTTCTTCTGGCCCCAGAGCAGTGTGGCGGGTCCGCCATGGTGGACGAGGTCAAGGGTACATGCGAAACAGCCAAGGCTCCCGCGTCCTCACTCTCAAACCCACCTGTTCTGCAGGTAGACTGGTGGCCGTGGCTCGCATTCGTTCTCATTATGAACAATACCTAGGTCGGCCGCAGGGCTGCCTTGGGGTTTCCGGGTCCTAACGGGAACTGGGGAACTGGCGGTTGGAC